TTTGGAAACTTAAGATACCACTTAAGATTAAAAGTTTTATGTGGTATCTCTTTATGGGGATTGTTTTAAAAAAAAGACAACTTGGCTAGAAGGAATTGGAATGGTAATTTGAGATGTTGTTTTTTATAAAAAATAAATCGATTTACCATCTTTTCCTGGATTATCATTTTGCCAAATTTCTTTCGAAATCTATACAATTCGCGTTTGGATTATATCCTCCATATAATATATCTCATATATTTAGGAATTGGTTTGTGGGTGTTAATAAAAAGACCAATGAACTTAATCTTGTTGGAGATTCCGCTGTATGTTGAGCTCTCTGGCTTACTAGAAATAAAATTATTTTTGATATATCACCTTCAAAATCTTATTTGGTTCTTTTCTGGGCAATATATTGGCTCCGGGAAAGGGCTCAATTATAAAAGCATGATGATCATATCAAACTAATAAGAGATATGTGTCGTAAACTTGAGTCGACAATCATGCAGCTTTTTATCAACTTCGGGTGGAGATTCACCAAGAGAATTCAATAGTTGTGGGGTCTTTACCTTGTTTGATTTTTATTAGTTTGCTTTTACTTTTGTTTTTGTTACTTTAGTTATATACTCATTGGGTGAGTTCATTTTTGTGTAAATCTTATAATAATTGGCTATAGTTCTTGCGCAAATGCCAGGATGTCATTCCATTATTATAAAAAAAAACAATTAATCCGAGTCCGACTTGATTCCGGAGCCCGATCGATCGATGTCCGAACTGTCTCTTCTAATCGAGACGTTATATATATCATGCTAATCCTGCCTGCCACGACACCCTTCGTCTACATAAGTGAGCAAGATAGATTAGCCAGAAGCTAATCCCACTCTAATCGGTGGCATGCATATATATCGATTATTGCATCACTATATATATATAGGCGCCTCACCGTCCGGAGCGCGCACCGCGGCGCTGCCGGCGTCGTCCGCCCATGCCGCCGCCGCCCGCCGCGTCGTGCGGCCTACACGGCCACCACCGCCGCCGCCGCAGAACTTCTCCGTCTCCACCGGCGTCGCCACTCGCCGCGTCGTGCCTTCACGGCCACCACCTCCACCGCCTCCTCAGAACTGCTCCGTCTCCACCGCCGTCGCCGCCCGCCGCGTCGTGCCTACACGGCCACCACCACCACCTCCGCCGCCGCCGCCGCCGCCGCAGATCAACTACTCCGTCTCGACCGCCGCCGCCGCCAGGTCGAGCGGGCACCACGTGTTCCGGATCCGCGACTACTCCCTCCTCGAGGCGATCACCCCCAACGGCAAGAGCATCAAGTCCACCTCGTTCGCGGTGGGCGGCCATAGCTGGCACGTCGAGTACTACCCCAACGGCTACGACGCCGATCACACCGACTACGTCTCCGTCTTCCTCGTCCTCGAAGACGACATCGCCGCCGCCGGCGGCGCGGGCGAGCCGGTGAACGTGCAGCTTCGCTTCCGCTTCGTCGACGCGTCGTCCAACCCCGGTCGGCCGTGGACGCCGCCGCCGCCGCCGCCGCCGTCTGAATTAGCCGACATGCGTGGCGAGAAGGTGCGCGACTTCGACGGACAAGGGAATGGATGGGGCACCGTGGCGTTCAAGAAGAAGGAGAAGCTGGAGAGGGAAGGGCTCATCGTGGAGGATGGGCTGGCCATCAGGTGCGACATCGTTGTCATCACGCAATCCTGCACGGCGACGACGACGACAGAGGCCTCGCTGGCCGCCGCCGCCGCGGCATCGTCGTCCAGCGAGGAAATGGTTTCCCCCACCACCATCGAGGACAAGGTGGTGAACCCGGTGTATACAAAATGGTGCTTACCGCCACTGTTTCAGTAAAAACATAGTCTGCATAAGATCAAGCCGCCTGACGTGATGTTCCAGGTCGGCACAAGCGGAAGTTCACGGCTAACCGGCGGTTCGTCGCCGGCCGGTCGCCGTCACCGGCCTTCGCGGCGGAGCAATTTGGCGGCGGCCAGACGGAGCAATGCAACGACCACCACCATCGTGTCATACAAATCGACGGCATGAAGCCCCCAAGTTGTTCGACGCGCTCAGCTTCATGTATGGCGGCTCGTTACCGATGAGTAGGCCAGATTATCGGCGGTCACTGCTGTGCCTCTGCTCGTCGCGAGAAGTTAAGCAAGTACTCCCTCCGTATTAAATGTACGACGCCGTTGACTTTTTAACAAACGTTTGACCTTTCATCTTATTTAAAAAATTTATGTAATTATCAGTTATTTTATTGTGACTTGATTTATCATCAAATGTTCTTTAAGCATGATATAAGTATTTTTGTATTTGCATAAAAAAATTAAATAAGACGAATGGTCAAACATTAGTTAAAAAGTCAACAGCGTCATACATTAAAATATTAAAATATGGAGGGAGTACTACAAGAGAAGCGTGTGGTAAGCTTGTTGGTGTTCGTTGATCTGTGGCCTAGCTGCAAGGTGTTCAAGAAGGCATGCTTTGAGTTCATCATCAAATCGTCGCACTGTCTGATGTTGATTGTTCAAAAACAAAAAAAATGGGAAGTATGGCCGTGTTTAGTTCGTATGCCAAATTTTTTTTAAGTACACGGACACGCATTTGAAGTATTAAACTTAGACTAATACAAAACAAACTACAGATTCCGCATATAAACTGCGAGACGAATTTATTAAGCCTAATTAATCTGTCATTAAGAAATGTTTACTGTAGCATCACATTGTCAAATTATGGCGTAGTTAGGCTCAAAAGATTCGTCTCGCAATTTACATGCAAACTGTGCAATTGATTTTTTTTTCGTCCACATTTAATGTTCTATGTGTCTAATAATTTGGGTAGTTCCATGCCAAAATTAGAAGTTTGACTAAAATTGGAAGTTTGAAGAAAAAAGTTAAAAGTTTATGTGTAGGAAAGTTTTGATGTGATGAAAAAATTGAAAGTTTGAAGAAAAAGTTGAAAACTAAACCAGGCCTTGATGTGAAGGAATATTTGGAAGTTTGAAGGGACTAAACACTGCCTATATCATCATCTGTCTGAACTCTGAACTGTCGTACTCCCTCCATACTCATAAAGAAAGTCGTTTAGGACAATGTTTAAGTTAAACCTTGGGAATATAAATCATGAATAACTATCAAGTTGTTGAGTTTGAAAATGTAAAAATTAGAGTAAACTGCACTTTAGGCCACCTCTTTTTACCAAAGATGCAATTTGGGCTAGGTGTAAGACATGTTTTTCACATTAGACTAGATAACTTTGCATAATTGTTTCAATTTGGACCTCCTTTTCTATATGCTCCCCTCTTTCTTCTCAAGTTGATGAAGAAGCCAAGCTCAAGCATAGACTTCTGGAGTGCCGCCTACCGCTGCCTTGTAATGCAGCCACTATCCTCGAGCAGCTCCTACGCAACCATCATCGTGCAACTCTCGCTACTATGGCCATGGAGTGCCACTGGCCGCCACAGTCCTTGAGTAGTTCCAACGTGGGGGCCAAGAGCTGCTTCGCTGCCGTGGCCCTTGAGCGCTGCTCAATTGCTCATTGCTGTCATCCTTTATCTGCCATCCGAGAGCTTTGATTCGACCCGTTTTGTCCCAAGCTCTAGCTTGGTGAGCTTGACCATCATTACGACGACTGTACAGGGGCCACGGTCTCAAGGTTGATGATCTCCACGGGGCATTGGGGCTTGCTGAATTGCTGAAAGTTCAAGCGTTGGGGCTTGCCGAAAGTTCAAGCTTGACCTCAACATGTCTATACTCACAGTCACATAAGGTCAACGAGAGAGAGCGAGCTAGAGCCTGGAGTTTGGAGAGGCAAAAAGGAGGTTGAAGGTGAAACCTTTTGCAAACTTATCTAGCCCAAAGTGAAAAAGTCATCTTATCCCTAGTCCAAACTGAAACATTGGTTAAGAAAGATAGCCCAAAGTGCAATTTACTCTAAAAATAAAAATTATATGTATAGATTTGTCTTGAAAAATACTTTCATAAAAGTATACATATATCACTTTTTAATAAATATTTTTATAGAAATAAGAAGTGAAATTTGTGTTTTGGAGACCGTGTCGCTGTCCTAAACGACTTCCTTTACGAGTATGGAGAGAGTACGTGCGGAGTGAATGGTCCTATAGCAAACTCTGGACAAGCCAAATTTTTATATATGCTGGGCCGTTTCCCTACCATCCATTAGGGCCTTCGCCCACCAATACGCTTGGTCGTGCCCCACCACAATACGCTGGGCCTACAATTGTTTATGATGTCAGAAATTTGTCAAGATACTTTTCCCACAACTCATAAAAATTTGATCACTATTTCCGTTCAAAACAAAATTGATCACAGATTCCATTTGAGTGTCTGTATATATATAGTACGTCAACCACGATCAGGATCTATATATATCAGTGACCAAGTTATGGTGACTTTGAACATATATATAGAAGAACCTGATCCATAGTGTTTACCGCCATGATATTTCAACATCTGGAATTGGGAATATTTTCTTCGTGAAACTATGGTCGAAACTCAAAATTCATACTTAGAGCAAGGGGCAAGGCTAATAGCCATATCACCTTGCTGCATGCAGGCCTGCAGCTAGTTTCAAAACTTAGTAAATATAGCAATTAAGTTATATATTTTTCTCTACAATCTCCCACACACACCTTTTGTTTTTCTAGTATTAAATTGGGTTGTTTGAAGGATGGTAGCAAGGCACACGCATGTATGAGAAAAGAATTGGGCCCACAACATGGGGAGTAGTGTGTAGCCCGACGGCAAAACAATCCTTCTCTCTTTCACCTAAAAAATCTAATGTGTACATCACTATAGGCTGCTGATATAGTTTTATATATATCTGTTTTTATATTGTACATGTATACGGACGTCATGAGTTAATTTATTTTTATAACAAACAGGTCCTATTACCATCGCTGTTCGTTGATCATATCGGTTTTAAGACGAGGAATTACTTTATCTGGTTTAAGGTTCAGAGAAGAAATTAAATAAAACAAGAGAGTTAAGTGAACTCGAAACAGATATATGTCTGTCACTAATTCATAGATTGGAGAAATAGCATATATGTTGAAGAAACTTATTTATATTCTGTAGATATATATAATATCCATCTCACTGCATATATACGCAATAAGTATTAGAACACCATGCGTGCCCAGAACTGTACTGGGCAAATATATCCGCTTATTCAGTCATTCATTCATACCAAATCCAACCACAGCGATATCTCGACCGTCCGATCAGCGATCAGTGGTTGGCGATGATCTCCTGAGCCTTGATCTCGTACTCAAAGCCATAGCTGCTGACCTTTGAGCTGTCCGCCGACCAGATGAACAATCCCGGCAGCTTCCCCTGCCGCTGCAACTCCTTCGCTCCGGCGATCCCCTGCTCCGGCCAGAGCAGCCCGGCGACGTCGCCGGTCTTGAAGCTGGCGAGCACCTTGCCGCCCGGGTAGTTCGCCGCCTGCTCGTCGTAGAACATCACGTACGTCGGCACGTCGGTGTTGTCGCCGTAGCCGTAGAACTGGAAGTTGACGAGGTCGATCACGCCGGCGTAGCGCCGCCACAGCGGCTGGTAGTAGCGCTGCACCACGGCGTCCTCGAACGGCGCGATGGAGGTGGTGATGTTCGGGTGCCGCGCCTTGAGCTCGGTGAGGAGGCGGCCGATGCACTCCACGAACGTGTCGACGCCGGCGCCGCCGTCGTCGTTGAAGTGCTCGTAGTCGACGTCGACGCCGTCGAGGCCGTAGGCGTCGATGATGCCGGAGACGGAGGCGACGGCGTTGGCCACCCACGAGTCGACGGAGGTCGGGGAGAAGAAGACCTTGGCGGTGTCCTGCACGCTGTCGCCGCCGAGGCCGACCATGACGCTGACGTTGGGGTGCGCCGCCTTGACGGCGGCGACGTCGGCCGGGGACAGGTTGGCCGTGTCCCAGTACGGCGAGAACACGCCGTTGGTCGGCGCCGGCGTGGCGCCGCCGGCCGGGCTCGTGTAGTCGATGGCGAAGGAGAGGATGAAGTTGAAGCTGAGGTTTGGGTTGATGGGCACGTCGGAGAAGCGGACTCCGGTGAACTGCGCGCCGATGTACTCCCGGAACAGGTACCCGTTCGTCATGGCTACGACCTTGTTGCTCGAGTTAGCTGCTATCTGTCTAGCTATCTATTTATACACGTGAGCAACCGGTTTAATTAATTGTTGATTAATTTAGCTTTGACTACACCTATATGTTGGGGGAGATGAGCAAGCAAAAGATCAGGTTCTGATCTACTTACTGTTGGATGCATCACATCAGCTGTTGTTTATTAATGAGAATATAACAAGTTGGTCATGGTAGATAAGCGACCAAGGCCGTGTTTAGTTCCTTTCATAATAATTTTTTTTAAGTATACGGACACACATTCGAAGTATTAAATGTATACTAATAACAAAACAAATTACAGATTTCGCCTATAAATTGCGGGACAAATCTATTAAGCCTAATTAATCCATCATTAGCAAATATTTACTGTAGCACCATATTATCAAATTATGGTATAATTAGGCTAAAAAGATTCGTCTCGCAATTTACATGCAAACTGTGTAATTGGTTTTTTTCTATATTTAATGCTTTATACATATATTTAAATATTTAATATGACGAAATTTTTAAAAGTTCGAAGGGAACTAAATACAATCCAAGTAACCACCCGAGCGCGGCTCGAAAAAGAGTGACATATAGCTAGAACCTAGAGTTAGACATGTGCACGCCACGAAATTGGAGAGCTAGCTAAGGTTACCATCTTACGTACGGTAACCATTTGTGATTTGTGCACATCGGGGATTCATTTATGAAGCCATGCAGATCAGCACGACTCAAAATTGTCTTGGATTGGGAATTCGATCGGACATATATAAGTATAGGAGTGAAGTGCACCAGCGGTCTCTAAACTTGTGCGGGTGTGTCATCTAGGTCCTTAAACTCTTAAAATGTATTTTTGAGTCCTCGAACTTGTCTTCGGTATCATATAGGTCCAAACAGGCTCCGATCCGCTCCATCCGCTAACGTGGCATCCACGGTAGCGTCTACGGGTCAGTGGGGACCCACATGTCAGCTCTGTGCATCATCTCCACCGCCCTGGGAGCCGAGAGAGAGAGAGAGCGAGAGCAGGAAAGAGAGACACCGGCGGTGCTCGACGCGTCACGCGTGGCCGGGACGTGGCAACGCTGAGCTCCTCCCTTTTATTCCTCATACGTGTCGCCTTCTCTTCTACATTCTTCTGGAGCCGAACTACTCGGACGAGAGAGAGCCCTATGCCTCTCCGTCGCCCACATTCTCGTCGTCGATCGCGAAGAAGATGACGCTCGCTGTTGCCGACGAGTTGTCTCCATCGCCAAATCTTTCCCGTTCCAAACTTCCCACATCATGCCGAGCAAATCTCCTTTTGACCCCATCTCGTTTTATCCACTGCAGCAACGGAAACGCGACCTTGCCCACGAGAGCTCCGGAACTCGCACCAGGCGTCGCCGCCATGAAGTCGTCGCTGTTCCAACCGACATGGTCCATCTCAAGCCAAGCCATCGTGCCAAAGTCATCGCCTCACCATCATGGCCAAAATCCCTCAAGAAATTTTAAGAATCATGCACAGACGAGGGAGATCGCCGTCATCTTCTCCAACTCCGGTCACCGAGTGCCATCGCCAATCCCTCTCTCCCCGGTGAGCCACGGACTAATTAATCGTGCATGCAACTCTTTAGGGACCTCACTAACCACCCATGCACCTTCTCTAAGCATTCCACCGCTCAAGCGAGCCGTCGCCGTGAAGCCGACGTTATCCACCACCGCCGGGCTGTCTTTTCCATTGCCGCTATTACCCAGACCTCGCCATGCCGCAATCAAGTTCCAGTGAGCACCTAGGGACCTGCTAGACTCGTATGCATGCATCTTTTTGCACTAAATCGAGCTGGGACTCTACATGCACAGGCGTATTGAAGACCACCGCCGCTCGTGACACCACTGGCATCGATTCCGGCCACCTCCGGCGACGAGACCACCTTCAACAGGATCGCAAGGAAGTCCTCAGCATTTCTTCTTGTGGTTGTGTCGGCCGAAGAATCGCCGTTCGCCAACGGCATCGTCGTGAAGGAACGCCGGCCGGCGAACTCTGCGGCTGCTGCTGTGTTCTCCCTGTGCCTATGATAGGTGGGCTCCGCTCCATTAGCACGTATAGAATTTGATTAGAGTAAGTTTAAAACATGTAAGGTTCTTTCTGTAAATATTGTTATCATATCATATATTTATAAATATGACTGACATGTGAGTCCCCACTGACACGTAGGCGCTACCGTGGCATGCCACGTCAGCGGATGGAGTGGGTCGGTACCCGTTTGGACCTATATGACACCTAAGACAAGTTTAGAGACATAAAAATACATTTTAAGAATTTAGATACCTAGATGATACATTCGCACAAGCTTAGAGACCACTGAAGCACTTCACTCTAAGTATAGCTAAAGGAAAAACAAGACCGACTTCCAGACCGTCCATGCATGCTGGCACATGCATGCGTACACGCGGAACTAACTGTGACTAGATTGTTCACTACTCGGCGACACGTTCACGTTAATTAATTACTCCCAACTACCACGGAGAAAAGGTCATCCGTACCGGATGGAAACCCACAAAGAGTGCCGGTTTTTCCAAACGACACCATGAAGAAGACACATATTAGAACACTTAAAGGTGGCGGTTTTAGAACTGGCATCTTTAAGTTATACAATTTGCAAAGACAAATTTACCCGAGCCGATGCATCAAAGCAACCCAAAAAATCATCCAAAAATCTAAAAAAGACTACACATCAGCATCACACAATCAATAATTGATGGATCACACAATCAACAACTACACATGGGAGCTCGCCGGAACTGTCGGATCTGGCGGATGGGAGCCTGTCGCCGCTGCCGCTGCCTCCCCTCCCACCGGATCTGGCGGAGGGGAGGGCGCCGCCCGCCGTTGCCGCCTCTCCTCCCGCCGCCACCCGTGGGGCGCCGCCGCTGCCGTTGCCTCCCCTCCTGCCAGATCTAGCGGAGGGGAGGGCGCCACCCGCCGCTGCTACCACCGCCTCCCTCCCACCGCTGCACGCTGTTGCATGCTACCACCGCGTGCTAGCGACCGAGACACTGCGGTAGAGAAGGAGAGAGAGCCGGCACAGAGGGGAGAGGGTGTGAGAAAGAGAGAGCGGTGGGTGAGAGGACGAGAGGGGAGCAAGTGGATAAGGACGCTCCCTTACCTCCCACTCGGCGTTTTATTCCTCGCCTCCCCGTGCGATAAAAGAAAAAAAGAGGCTGTCTCTCAATTCGGCTTGGCTCGTTTGATAGGGTGTCGTTTTTAATTAACCGACACCTATAATATATTAAAGATACTAGTATCTTTATAAAAAGAATCGGCACCTATAGTATAGGTGGCGGTTCTTCTATAGAACCGACAACTATAGCGTATTAAAGGTGCCGTTTTATTTTTTTTCATCTTTTGAAGGGGAAAAGCACTATATGTTTCGGTTTTAGCTGATCTGACACCTATAGTGCCGACTTGTATATGTCTTTTTTAACAGTGTCCCACCATCCCAATCATCCCTAACAAAGAACATCAAGACCAAGAACACCAACACATAATTTATTCTAAAATTAATCCTCATCGATAAGGTGTTTTGTCGCTTCGAGTCCAATAAGAATTATCTCATACTTAAATGTTGCATGGGTTGAACTAATAAAAATTAATCTTGATTAGTCGTATGCAGGGTATTTCATAATGCATATGTACTCTTTGCACGAATAAACAAAATAAACATTTTGTTAGATGACGATTATTTTTGGAGAAAACCTCAAGACTCTTAGGCGATAATTACATTGGGATACAGGGAGGAGCTACTATTGCACGTTATGTCACTATTACCCGGACAACCTTCGTATACAGCCAGCTGCTAGATATAATCTCCGATTGACCTCCATGTTCAACTCTACCGACACCGTCGTCGTCATCGTGGTGGTGGCAGGGTTTCCCTTACCGCCGGTAACCGCGCGGGCTTATCGCGGGGGTACGGTAATATAAATACCGCGGTAACCTCCTTAAATTCAAATAAATTTAAAAAATAATTTGAATTTTTGATAAATTTTACACGGTTTTGTATGGTTTTTCACGGTTACCGTGGTTACCGCGCGGTAACCGTGCTTACTATTGGGGCGCGGTAACCCCGGCACCGGCGGTTTAGGAAACCCTACCGTGGTGGTGGTGATGTTCACCAACAAGCTGGCTCCCATGCAAAAAAGAAAAGCTGGAAAGTTTTTCTTTTTAAAAACACAGTAAAAAAAACAGATATTTATAATACGTACCCTGCACACTTACACCTGTAAATGCACGTACGCATATATTATCGAGCAACTTTTAAAAAACTGGGCCGGTCAAAAAAAAAAGTTTAATTCTACATGAAGGGTCTGGTCCTCCATCATCCCCTTGATCTGATCGACCTAGCTGGGCTTGGTAATCGGCCAGTACTAAAAGGAAAAAAGTACACCGAACGTCCTTCAACTTGTCATCGAGTTACAAAATCGTCCCCTAACCATAAAACTAGATATTCAGCGTCCCTTAACTAATCAAAACTAAATAGGTCCTTCGGTAGTTTTGACCCTGGTTTTATCTTACGTGGCAGTTGAGTTAGTGTGGGACCCACGTGGGCCCTACATGTCAGGATGCCACGTCATCTCTCTCCCTTCCTCCTCTCTCTCTCTTCTCTTCTCGTCTCTTCTCCTCTCTGGGCAAAGGGTGCGGGCTGCAGCGACTAGCGGCGCCGTGGAGGTGGGCGTCGGCGGCGGCGCAGAGGAGATGGGCACCGGCACCGGCAAAGATGTCACACCCAAATCTGGCACTGCCGTACAACGGCACCTGATAGGAGCGTGTCGTAGGAAAAACGGCGCAAACCGTTTCCTACGAAACCGCGATCATAGTACCAGTCCCAGGACATAGCGCTGGTACCCACGGTGACAAATATGAATCATTGTAATCCTTAAATTAAATAGAGGACTTATTTACCTTAACTTAGGTTGCAGCTCAGGATAGCCCGAGAATACAATCGACGACGCGGACGAGGAAACACCAACAGCAGCAGCAGCAGCAGTAGCGGAACCAACGGTCTAACACCCAACACCACAGGCGACGGCTGGGAACCAGGACAAAACCCTAATCTTCGCTTAACTTCATCTTCTCTTCAAGACGGAGGAACTATATATATATATTTATATAGAGCAAGGGTGAGTATTTTCGTACTCAGCAAGC